CGTGACCCAGGCCGGATTGTGTACACCGAGCTTGAGAACGACGTTGCCGAGAGGGCAGATGAGGAAGAACCAAGGGTACGCATAGGCGCAGGCACGCAGCACACCGTTCGTGCCTATGCGATGCTGCAGTGGCGGGAAGATGATGAGAAGCCACGAGACTTGGGCGATACCGTTGACGGACATCATAACGGAGATTTGCAGAGGGGTGAAGCCGTAGCCACCAAGCTCGACTGGGGTGAACCAAAAGACGGGGACGACGGCCGTGTAGGACAATGCGAGGAGCATGAGGTAACCGTACACGAAGAGGACATTGGAAGCGCCTGGCGACTTGACGATCTGTTTGATGGAGCCCTTGTCCTTCTTGGGCGGTGCTGCCGCATCGTCGTTGCTGCTGTGCTTCTCCTTGACCAGTGTTTCCTCGACAAACAGTATGCTAGTGATGGTCGCCGTCAAACCAATGAAGCCCACGCAGAAGCTGGATAGTGCGTAAGGGTAGTCGAAAAAGAATTGAGCTTTGAAAACGCTCGGGTACTGATGCGCCGGATCGGCGAGGGCTCCGCCGAGAAGAGGCCCGAAGAAGATGCCAAGGTTACCGCTCAGAGCGAACCAACTAAAGGCCCTGGCTTGGGTCTTTTGGGTGACGTGCTCGGCAATCATGGTGCGCATCGTGACAAGAGATCCGCCAAACACGCCTGCCAGGCATCGGAAGAGGATCATCTGCCAAATGGTCTGTGCCATGCCGAAGATGGATGTGGCGATGGTAACACCGCAGAGGGAGAAGACGAGAACGGGCTTGCGGCCAATCCGATCAGAGAGTCTGCCCCAAAAGATCATGACGACAGCCTGGGTTAGAGAGAAGAGTGACTCGATGAGACCGCTGTAGAAACCGACGTCCGCTTTGGCGAGGTGGCCGTTCTCTTCGGCCATCTGGCTGATGTACGGAAAGATGCAGAAGAAGGCCATGGGCTCTACAAGTCGCGCGTAGCATAGCCAAAAGACTTGCCATACCGGCAATGGCTTATCATCGGCGTCCGGAGTCTCATTCTCTTGGGATGGCTCATTGAGCGTTGTAGCCTTGGAGACATCGGGATCAGCGGTCGGAGCGATATCGCCGGCGATGAGCAAGGGAGTTGTCTCCGTCGCGTCGTGACTGAAGGTGTCCCCGGTTGCCGGCTTCTGGTTCGGCGCCATCTTGGTAGCGTAAGAATGTGCGGCTGTGTTCGTATGAGCAACACAACTACCTACCCTAGAAGATGATGGTTCCCCGGTTTGGTCGGCCCTTTCTCAGAGCTTGTGTTCCAGGCACAAGCGACGTGACGAAGTCGCTTGTTGAGTAATTAAGTGTAGGTAAGCAAAGTGAGATGAAACGCAATTGACATTGTTAATAATTTGAGAGCGCGTCACCTCGGTCTTATGTCAGACCGCCGCAATTTTCAGCCTTCCTAATCAGGTTAGGCTACATCACCAAAGTACCGTCCCGACTCTCAACAAACAATTCAATTCAATGGCTTTATTTAAGCATACTGAAGGATGGATTTTTTGTGTCGCATAAATGCACTTGTGCAACGAGACGCCAATTCCTTCGCTTGTCATTGATACAAAGAAGACTGAACAGCTCACCTGTTCATCTAGGGCTTCCGTCAGCTACATCCTCGGGTTCACTCATTTTCTCCTCTCGTCATAGTAAACATGGCTGTGACAGCTTTTATTATATCCAGAATGCCGCCTTTCGCTGGCTAGAAATCTTGGCTTCAGAGCACTGATCTGTTCTTAAAAATTTACTAGAATTTCAATTGTTAAATAGATCCATCCTGTGTAACTCTGTCCTGCAGGTTTATCTTTTTCTCGCGAGTCCATGTTACCCTTGTCTGCAGAAATCAGTACACCGAAGACTAGAGTCATCCGGTAAATCCTCTGCCGCTGAGATATGCATCTACTAGCCATTGCACGCTCTTATTACCTCCAAAGTCTTTCAGGTTTTCTGGCTGATAGGCTGAGTGGCCACAATCTCTTCCCCTTTGCCTGTATACTGGGTACCCGGGCTATCTCCGTCAGGCCTGTCGGAATCAGATCCAATGACCGAGGAGCCTTCCGCGCCAGCTCCTTCGGTCGCAAGCCTCATCTCCAGGTCAGGATGCTTGTGCTTCCATCTCTTCATGTACCATGTGCCGAACATGAGAAAAGCCCACATTGCGACTTCGAATACTGTAGCTGCGGGATATCCGTGGGGATAGCGCGGGGCTTCGACGGTTGGGAAGGTGAATAGAGGGATCCAAATCTGTCCACAGAATCCGAGGGTCATCATCGAAGAGATGATGAGACCTCTTTCACCATAATTCTCTTTGAGCGTAGAGTTCAACCATGAATACTAAAACGCTTTTGTTAGATGAGGAAGTCGATCATGGCATACAGGATGACATACCAAGATCGGAGATGCCATTCCAGAGAAACCTCCGAAATAGAAGGCAAGGAATTTGAGGATGTCAGGAACATTCCATATAGACAGGACTATGCAAGAGAAGAGCACAAATGACTACGAGTAATCAGCGCTGATCGTCGTGTCAATGTTGATAAGATGGATTCGTACCGCCTGGAAAGACCAAAGGCCCCTCAAACTCAAACAACCTGCTAACGTAGTTCCTAGCCAAGAAGACAATGCCCGCAGAAGGTCGATGAAAGTCGGCAAAATATTCACCAATTCAACCGAGTATCCAGCAGCCTTTAGCCACAAAGCCATGTAGCCTGTCCAGTAGTGCGCTTGGCACAAGAAGCTGTAATGTGTCAGAGAAACAATCGCTTTCAAGGAGGCTCAGGGGCACGAACATGTAGCAAGGAACGCAAATCCACCACATTGGTCTGGAGAGCGTATACTTGAACGTCTTCCACGTAATGCCCTCCTGTTCGACTGTTGGCATCCGCTTGACCGCGAGGGCGTGCTCCTCCGCGGAGAAGTACCACCTCTTGGGTGAAGTTGGAAGGCCAGGCCAGAACGCAAAACCTAAGAAGGATATGGGAAGGGTGATAATACCCTGGACGATGAAGAGCCATCGCCAACCCGCACGTCCAAAAACGCCGTTGAGGTTTCGATACGCCGCGGCCTGCAAGTAGCCGGAGAACATGGAGCCTAGAGAGTTACCCATGAACCATACTCCAGCTCGCTTGAAGAGCTCTTCGTTCTTGAACCAACTGCCCACTACTTTTGATTAGTACTTCGGCGAGGAGACATTGGGTTTCAACAAGCATCCTTACGAATTAGATGAGTGCCACCGAACGATGAAGCTTCGAGGAACCCTGTAATAGCGCGAAGGATGTACAGATGCCAGCTGTGCTTGATAGTGGACTGAGAAAAAGCGATCACTGCCCAGATGATCTGCAGGGAAGGTAACAAGAAAGGTGCACTGCATAATCTTGATCAGCAACTTGCTAAATCGCCTGAAAAAGCATCTAATTTTTAGACTTACATCTTTGCCTTCGTCTGTAGAGTCATGAGCGGGATTTGGCCAATGACGTATGCGGTGTTGTCTGAAAAAGTCAGTTGAGCATGTAACATGAGTGTCTGAACATTTGCTTACAAGCGACGACATAGTAGTTCAACTCGTTGCCGTGAGAATCAAGATCCTCACGCATGCCTGATACATATGCGTTGGTGACATTTTGCTGCCCAAGGAACTACTGCCGGTCAGCTCATAACTCTGGGAATTGTGAGTAAAAGATGCCCTTACTCTGCAAAAGACTAAGAGTAGTAAAAGTAACAATCAGTTTGGTTTGCCTTCGATCAAATGAAGAGACCTTGACTTACAAGACAAACTTCCAAAGACCAGAATCGCAAGATCGAGTTTTCGCAAAAGCTTTCGCTCTTCTGCAGGATAGTGTGAGGCTGTTCAATGACCGTGAGTGACTTCCTTGTGTAAGATAAACGGTCGAATACTTACGGTACCAGTCAAATACTGACAATATCACCGCCCCTATCTTGTTGCCCTTCACTTTTTGACCGAAAGACCCCATCTTCAGCTGGTTCTGCCGGATTTCCGTCTGCGATGCACGTGCAAGAGTCAGAATCGGCACTGCGCTGTCGGCAGTGGTTTACATATAATGTCACCGGAGCAAGGAGGATTCCTCGTCCCCCTGTCTACGTCCCTTTCGCCTTCTTGGTCTTATGTCGAGCCTTCACTTAATGCTTGCCACCCCCAAGACGTGCTTCTGCTATGAACACCCAACCACCGCGGCGTCTTGTCTGCGATAAGCTCAACTCCCAGTCTCTCATGCAACATAACACCCGCCGAGACCCGACTACGTGCATCGCACAAGAGCCTCGCCCACTATTCGCCATAGTGGCAGGAATGACGAGTGCCCATGCTTACCGGGGAAAGATGCGGGATAGCGGGCAAAGTACCTTAAACAAGGGCCAATAATCTCCGATGCGGCAACGAGATCGTGAGTCCGGACAAACCCTCACCCACCACTTCCGCCGAACTCGGTGGTTTACCGAACGTCCAAGACCGGAGAAATACTACCGGGTGGGCTACCTAGACTGACTTGAATACGTTTCCTGCAGCGCAGACGTCGGTTTGGCGGCGGGAAAAGCCCGACGACATGTGACGGGGGTGGGGATTGCGCCATCCGTTATCAGATGATGACATGCGGCGATCTCGCATCTCCAAGTGCCTCGACCAAGTAGATTTATTGTGTTGCTTGGTAAGTGCCGCGGGGTAAAATGCGAGTGTGACACCATGGAGAAGGATGAAACCAAATCAACTTGCTATTATTGGTCTCTTGATGGTTGAGGATTTGGTGGGGGTTCAGTCCTGCGGAGACGTCGCCGTGCCGTGTTGGCTCGACTAATACGGGCAGCGAGATCCGGTGCGAAACCGTCCGGAGTCGCAGTCAAGGTTCATAGTTAAAATGGCGAGCTTGGAACCCGGCCTTTAGATGTATTGGAGAAAACCTAGACAGAGACCAACCAGCCTCCGAAGAAAAGGTACCCCGCCTCACCGCCCAAAATGCCGTCTGCTGTGTCCGAACTGTACCAATACACCCACGTCCCAGAGACGGAGGAGAACCTCGATTGGGCTGACCGTAAGTCTTGGCTCACCATGCTTCCACGCAAGACTATGCAGGGCTTGCAAGCTGACAGGCACCCGAAGTTCCCACCATTGATCTTGCAAAGTATGGGACACCAGAGGGCAACAAGGAGCTTGCCGATACACTGATCGAGGCCATTCGTACCAAGGGCTTCTTCTATGTTATCAACTATGGCATCTCGCAAGAGGCCGTCGACGCACAATTTGCTCTTGGCCAGAAATTTTACGAGCTGCCGTTGGACGAGAAACTCAAGTATGAGCCGGATTTGGATTCTGGAGATTACAATGGATACCGTCCCGCTGGTCGGCGGTTTTTGAGCGGTGGCCTCAAGGATAAGACAGAAGTATGGAACATGGCTAGTGAGTATTTCTTCACTTTGTCGAATCGAGGAAGCGTTGCTGACAGATGCAATCCAGCTCGCGCTGGACACATCACACAACCTTTGCCCAAGCTTCTGGAAGATCGCAAGGAAGATATTGAAGGATTCGCAAAGGTACGATGAAAGCCCTTTTAATCGTACGTAGGATATCGTGAATAACGCGAAACTTAGAACCTCCATGATAAGGTGCTAGACCCCCTGAACCACCTCATCGCTCTGGCTTTAGAGCTGCCCGAGGACTTCTTTACACGCGTACACAAGTGGGAGACTCACGATGAGTCTCATCTGCGCTACATGAAGTATTCCAAGTTCACTCCAGAAGAGATTAAGCAACTCGATGATGGCCTGTGGTCCCGCGGCCACACAGATCTGGGGACGATCACCCTGCTTTTCCGTCAACCCGTTGCCGCCCTACAAATCAGGGATCATGAGACCGGCGACTGGAAGTGGGCTAAGCCGCTCGATGGCAGTCTTACCGTCAACACATGCGATGCCCTCAGCTTCCTGACGGGTGGTTACGTCAAGTCCACGGTTCACCGGGTGAGTGAAATCTCATCTATACAACTTGACTTGCCCTCTACATTTTGCTGATTTGGAACCAGGTATCAGTGCCGCCTAAGGACCAGCGCCATGTCGATCGCCTGGGTTTGTTGTACTTCGCGCGTCCTCAAAACGACCTCGTACTGAAGACGATTGACTCACCAGTGCTCAAGCGCGAGGGCTTTACTCAGAACGAGTTCGAGGCTGGCGAACACCCGGTGCCGACCATGGGAGAGTTCACCACCCTCAAGCAGACTTGGCAGCAAAGGAAAGGGGTCAGCTATCAGAACTCGGAAGGACAGGAGATCCTCCCGGGATTCAAGGGCCAATACTTCAAGTAGGACGAACGGGCTGTTCTGGCCGCCACATTCTCGGAAACATGGTTTTCGAATAAATGTGTCCGAATGAAAGGCAATTTTGTGATGGTGGTGTTGTGGCGGCGACCAAGGCGGCACGTTATGTATTTTGGTGATCAATATGAGGTTCATTCTTTAGTGACCCTCTACCAGCCCACACCACCTTACCATGTGCTACCTAGACTGACAAAGGAATCAATCGACTTAAGACATCTACAATATCTCAGCTGAGGTCTCTAACCCGCATCGTCCCCGTTGTCGCTTGCGAGTATCCTCGACTGTTCGATTGAAATGATAGTACAACTCTCATCTCGCGTCACACTTTTCTTGGCCTTCTTTACGACTTCGTGAGGTAAGTCAACATACCCACTTCCTGGCACCCCCCTGTTTCTGGCACCACAAAAACGATGGGATCACAACCCAACCTCCTCATTACTATTAACTATTGATCCTCAACCACACCCACTACAATACAGCTGCCAGCCTCACTAGGGCATTCAGAGTCGCTGGATTCAGCCGTGATAACCTCCTTTTCACCCGCTTCGATTTGAGCCCGATGGATATCCCTGATGTTCGCGAACTTCGTATTGGGATCG